AGCCCAGCTCCAGGTTGAGCTGTTGTTCACCATCTTAGCTGTAGAGGGCGCAGCATCACTGGCCCGCATGTGGGATCCAAACCTGGGTCCTGCTGCTCAGAGCTGGTGTCCCAAGCCAACTCCTAACCAACGCGCCACCCGGCCAGCCCACGCATTTTTAAATAAATAGAAGAAACACCAGGAAAATAAGTGTGCTCTTTAGGGAAAGAAAGTCTGGATGGAGACTTTAAAAAATGCAGATTCTGCTTAAATGCAGAGTGACTGGTGACCTTGGGCAAATCACTTCATAATCCTAAATCCCCAAGATCTTATCAGTCAGAAGAGGACATCAGACTACATCACCTCCAAAATCCCTTCCTAACCTATGATCTTCCTCTATGGCCCTTTTCCATCTCAATTTGCTCACCAATGGCCCGTTTGACTCCACCCCTCCTCTAGTCCCTCTTCTTGGGCATTAGCCATTTCAATTCCAGCACTAGGAGGACATACAAGTGCCACCACTACTTAATAGCTACCTCTGTTTTGAAAACATTTCCTCTAGTCCTATAACAAAATATACAGGAAAAAATATTATCTCCATTTTAAAGGAGGAAATTGGAGCTCCATGAAGTTAAAGAAAACCTCATCTAAAGTCACACAACTACTAAGTAAGAGTTCCAGATTTGGCTGCAAAGCTCTCCATCCTCCCTAAGCTGCTGTCGCTCTTTCTTTGTAATGGGTGGTTAGTGTTCTGGCTCATCAGTCACCCTTTTCCAAACACAGCAAATGGATGTTTAAGTCTGATCACACACTACTTCAGATCGATATCATTAAAATCAGGCTTCGTCATCCAGAAGACGGAAATCTATGTTTTGTTCAGTGCGGGGCCCAGACCAATGTCAAGTACCGTGCATATCCTGGTGTAAACCAGGCTGCTGTCAGCACCCAAAACAGTGCTCCCATGTCTTCCACCTTCTTCAAGAGGACAGAGACAACTCGAAATCAAAAAACTAGAAGGGATTGCATCAGCCGACTTAGCTCAGTATTCAGATTCCAAATGACATCACATAATGAATATTTCAAAGACAGACGAGATGCACTATCTATTCAAGAATGCCAAAAGCCTCAGGAAATGTTCTGGGTTATTTGTTTCTGAAGATGAATAAACATTTTTAAACAAAAGTAAAACCTTCCACAAGCAAGACTGCATTTTCCCTGCTCTGCCATTGCTCTTCTTTAACAATAATCAGCTCAAATGAAATAAAAATCAAACTCTTTGCTAGAGCATGAATTTCAAAACTTTGCTTTTGTTGTTGTTCTTGTTCTTGAATTCAGCAAGGACAACATACAGGGTTTGATAAAATTCCCTCCCCTCAGCAGCACTCTTTTTCCAGCTGGGACAATAATTTACATGCCACTGTGAGCAGCAAGTTTATGTATAGCTAAGAGGAGCCACCGTGTTATTTCATTTCCCCCCAATAAATATACTCTGATAGTTTAAAACACAGGTATTACCTAGTACTCACAACAGCAAAAATGCTCAATTCTGTGATCTGTTAGTCTCAAAATAGTGACATGGTATGATCGATCTTAAAAACTACGTGTTCAAAGTCTGTGTTACAAACATTACCAGGACAGAACTGATTTGAAATTCTGCTTCTCTCTAACCATCAGTACCAGCCAACCCACTGCCTTCCACTCTATGGCTATCAGACGTGGAAAAGGGCACACATCCATTCAACAAGTAACAACAGCAGGGAAGGAAACCAGCTCTCCTGTTCAGATGTCAAACAAAATCAATAGCCATTTCCTAATGAAAGGAAAAGCGAAACAAGAGCTGACTGACCCCTTTCACCTCAAATTGCACGCTCCCTCCTCATCTAGTTGATACAGAAATCCGTAAAACTCTTTCCCCTCAATGGTTTCTTCTGCCTTCAGCGTCTCACCAATTGTGTTCGAAAGTATTTTTCAAGAATCAGGCTATGTAGCTGCTCCAAATTTCGTGAAAATGAATATCTGCCCTGTGGTTTTTTTTTTTACAGATAGACTTTTAGAGCCAGGCATGGAATAAATGTATATTCCTAACGAACTTGGTTTTTTGCAAACTGTTTGCAATGCACAATACAGCTCAGTCTGGCAAATGCAAGAGTCCCAGAGCCTAGAACAGAGCCCATGACTTTTTTGGCACATAGACATGTATTAAAATATGCATTACATGTATTTTTTGTTTTCCATGACTTTATTTTTTAAATTTATTGGGGTAATATTAGTTAATAAACATATAGGCTTTAAGTGTACAATTCTATACCACCTCACCTGTATATTGCATTGTGTATTTGCCACCCAGAGTCAATTCTCCTTCTGTCACCATATATTTGACCCCCTTTACCTTCTTCTACCTCCCTGCCCTCCTTACCCTCTGGTAACCACTAAGCTGTTGTGTCTATGAGTTTTTGTTTGTCTTGTTCCTTTGTTACTTTCAAGTTTTATATCCCACATATGAGTAGTGAAATCACATGGTTCTCGACTTTTTCTGACGTTTTTCACTTAGCATGATAATCTCAAGGTCCATCCATGTTGTCGCAAATGGCACTATTTCATCTTTTCTTACGGATAATATTTCACTGTATATATGTACCACACTTTCTTTATCCCATCATCTATTGAAGAACACTTTGGTTGTTTCCATGTCTGAGCCACCATGAATAATGCTACAATAAACATAGGGGTACATATATCTTTATGGATAAATGTTTTCAGATTTTTTATGTGTAGATACTCAGGAGAGGGATTGCTGGTGGGAATGTAAATTGGTACAGCCACTATGGAAAACAGTACGGAGATTCTTCAAAAAAATTAAGAACAGAATTACCAGAAATTGTTACTTTTGAATTTGCAAACACTTGTTGAATTTATAAACTATGATTCTCATTCATTCGTCATATTCTTGAGCTTTCACATACTCCAATGATAGGTGCTCTATCAACACCAGTGTTGCTCCAGCTGAAACTGTGTTTTCCTCAGCTCTTTCACTATTCCCTTGGGAAAGACAAAACCTTCCTAACAGCAAGAATAGGCAATTGAAGAAAGCAGTTCAAAGATGCAAGCCGAGAAACTGAGGTTGCCTTTGTGGAAAACAAGGGCTCTTCTACTGCCTTTTTCCACGAGAGACACAAATCTGTTCCACTTGGAAGCAGGCTAAAGCTGTGTTTGTACACACAGGAGAAAAGGAGAGGTTGGTGGGTGCCCAAGGGACTTAGCAGTATGAAGTCTCTCCTGCTACGAGAATTCCTGAGGGACTGAGGGACAGTGATGGCCAAGGATGGAGGGAATGGTTATTAGAACAAGAAGGGAAGTCAGCAGCCCTAATGATGATGCCCGAAGAAAGAATTCTGAAACCAACCAGCAAGATGGGGGGAAGGCTGAGAGGGCAGAAACACTGACCAAATCTCATTTCTCTAGGCATCAGTGTGATAATGACAAAGCTTTTACCTAGTAAGTGCTCTGAATTCCTGTATACAATCAACATTAGAACAGTTCCCTGATCTTATTACATTTAAGGGTATATATGCTATTGTACCTCCTCTCTAGGAAGCGTATTGTGCTATAGGCTAGAAAGGGTTTTCTCAATACATGCCGTGTTGTTGATTTAAAATTGAAACTAAATACATGAAAATTATACGGGATTCTTACCTTCCTGTGTAGATGTCTACAAATACTAAGGTTTCATTTTGGAACATTTCATGAGGCTTCTAATAAATATTCATAAAAAAGAAATCTTTTTTTCTGATCCTGTTCAATCTCTCACTATGTGAAGAACTTACTAGCTGTAATTTTTTAATTAATTATTATTTTTAAATTAATTATAATTAAAACTATGTATTTTAAAAAGCATTACCAAACAAGTTCAGTGAAAAATACTGAAGCTGAACAGTTTTAACTCATCAAAAATGTTTACTCAGTTCATATGCATACTATATATATACTATATATATTATCTGTCGTGTTAGACATTTCCAATATATTCTAGGATTTTTTGAAGGCTGAAAAGATATTCTGCTAGGACATCTTTAATCTCCTTAAAACAAGTGTTTTTGAACATAGAGCCATTTTGCAAAGAAAGTCTGTTAATATTAAGTACGCCTGATCTTCAAGATAGACTTCCAATAGGAATATTTTTTAACAGCATCCTAACAGGAGTTGCTTTTAATTCTAATCGTTTCTTGTTCTAAGCCAGGGTTTCTCAACTTCAGCACTCCTGACATTTGGGGCCAGATAATTCTTTGTTGTGGGGGACTATCAAGTGTCATGTAAAATGTTAGCAACATCCAGGGTCTCTGCCTATAACATACCAAGGCACCCCTTTGCCCAAGTTGTGACAACTAAAAACCCTCTCCAGACATTGCCAGTGTCCCCTGGTGGCCAAAATTGCCCCACTGAGAACCACTGTTCCCTAAGATACCTTGAGGTAAGAAAGTGATGTCTCCTCTCCTCCTCCACCCTGACTAACATTTCTATCCATCATTATTCTGCCTCATCAAACCACTTCATCCCTTTTTTTTTTAACGCCTTTACTATAGGGCAGCAAATAGTCCACTGACTATTTCCTAAGGCATATCTAGTTTTAGGAACAATCGTCTAGGAGAGTTGTCAAATTAGGCTTCTGATGACTAGGGCTATAATCCTTTGTATTTCCAAGGCAGGAGGTGAGGTGTAGGGAGAGAAGGGTCTTCTCATTTCACATTAAATTTAGCATTCTATAAATGAACTCTTTAGCTCTACTCACTCAGAGCTTCAAATGTCTAAACTCTGCCTTTATTTGACACCCTAAACAATTTGCCCCAATAATCCCTTCTCCTTGACACCCCCCCCACTCAAAAAAAATAAGCAAACCTATAAGATTAGGTTTTATTTGAGCAGCACGTTGGGGGGAACAGAATGGCTAAAATAATAATTTATTTTACCTTCACCACATGTTCTAATAATAATCAATGGGGAAAAGAAAATGCAGAAGCAGAAAATGACACCAAAGCCTTTTTATTCAAACTGTCCACCTTACAGATGTTCAGAAGCATGGTCATACTTCAAAAGATACATTTCAAAAGTTACTATACTAGAAACTGGGCCAGCCAGTGTCACATAGGATAAGAGGGTGTGTCCTGGCCATTAGAAGTTTTCTGTCCTTTCTGCTGAATCCCTCCACGGATCAGTGATCGCCCTGCAAGACAGTCCATACCATGGTCCTCATCACTTTTCAAAGTTTTCACTTCCCGTCATCTGAGTCACCCTCCTGTATTTTGGTTGTCTGGAACTATTTCTGGTGGTTACACACTCACAGTCTCCGAGCCCTGTGAGATAGCTGCAGATGGTCGGCACGGCTCTCCTCCCCGTTCTTTCAGTCCTTCCATAGACCGCACAGGTCTCCAGAGTTGCCTTCATCCTCATTTCCCGGCATCTGGTCAAGTCTCGCTTAAAAGATGGCACCGAGGACAACACAGCAAGCCGGATGGAGTCTGAGAAGCCTGGGGCTTGGCGACAACTCCCGCTCCTCGCCCCTCATCCCTCCAGTTTTCCATCCGGTGTGCAAATGCTTCTTCCCGTCCTGAGCTGGGTGGATGAAATCTTTCCTAGTCAGAGCCGGGTTTTGCATAAAGCTTGTTGCCCTAGATGCTCGTTTATTCTACTAATCTGGTCTTTTCCTTTTTAAATGACATTTACGTGTGGGGAGCTAGGGGGAGACCCCCTTCCCGAGAACCCGTGTTAGTCCCTCTGCCGCGGGGCAACATCACCGCGTCACCTGCAGGGGCAGCAGAGGGAACTGCGGACCCCCGGAGCGATGCCCCAGAGACGGACCCGTGGGTTCCGGAGCCCCTCAGACCGCCGGGACCCCTACCTAGGATTCCCTCTGGCAGAGGAGGGACGGACGCCTCCTCCCCGCGCGGAATCGGAGGACAAGACTGGCATCGGGTTTGGCGTGCGCGGGGGGCCAGGGAGAGGTTAGAAAGGAGTATCATTGGACGAGCAAAGAATGTGACCCTGGGAAAAGGAGGTAGAAGAGCGGCAGGAAAGCACGTTTCCCTTAATCCCCTCCCCGTGTGCAGCCCTGGATCTCCTCGTCATGGAGTCAGGCTGCAGCAACACACCAGACCCCGGGCCGACGACACGCACACGCGCGCGCGCGCACACACACACTCACACGCCCCGCCGCGAGTTGCACGCTGCAGACTTCTGCCTGACTTCCCAGCCCCAAACACCGCACCTCTCGGGAGAGGCCACGGACTCCAGTCGCCTAGCACAGGCACCACTCCCCCTGCCCCGCTGCACACACACACACATGCAGACCCTACGCTGCACCTGGCGGGTGCCGGGAACCACTTAGTGAAGCCCCGGCAGCTCCCCGTAACTGTCTACCTTCCCCGCTGCCTGATCATTCCAAATCTCCCACAAGCTTGGCTAAGGCGAACCTCCCGGCGACCAAGCCAGGTAGGAGGTGGAGGAGGAGCTTGGGGTACAAGCGAATCTCAGAGAACCGCTACTAAGTCACTATCCGGGGGGCCGCACGTCGCCTCCGACCCGTTCCTGAGCCTCTCGGCCCCCCCAGCAGCCGTCCCCCCGCCCGATCTCTGCACCGCTCCGCTCCTCCCCTTCCCCCAAATCCCTCAGCGGGTTTCCAGCTGGCCCTTCCAGGCCACTTTCCGCGCCCATCCTCTCTCTCCAGCCGCTTCCCAACCTGTGCCCTCGCGTCCTCCCTCCGAAGTCCTCGATTCAAGACTGCTTCCCTCCATCATTAGATCACCCTGACCTGGTACTGAGTCCCCAAATTATCCGAGTCCACTCGTTCTCCGAAGCCCACTGTCCCTTCCGCCGGCGTCCTTTGCTCCCGTTCAAATCCGCTTTCCGCACGCCCCACTTTCCATCCATCTTCCCTCCTGCCGCCCCAGCCAGGATAGGCTCACGTTCCACTGTGCCCCCCCACACACTGAGGTCTCACGCCGCTCCCACCCTACCCCGCGGGGACACCCCGCTTTCCCTCTGCGGCTGTCCCCGGCAGGGCGCCCGCATCCCCACGCCGGGCTCCCCAGCCCGCACCAGCCCGCGCCCGGCCTGCCGAGTCCTCTCCCTCGCCGCGCGGTCCTTCACTCTCTCCAAGTCGTCCCCCTCGACTCCCGCCAAAGCCATTTCAGTCCTCCCGCTTTGCCGGTCCCCTCTGCTCCACGATCCCGGTAGCCACCCGCTTTCAAATTGGCCAAGGGGTTCGCCGAGGCGCCAGGCACAGGGGCCAGCAGCCAGCCAGCTCTCCCGGGCTAGCCTGAGCTCCCCGGGGCGCCAAGCCCTCGCCCCACCGCCTCACAAACTTACTTGCGGGTCGCCAGGAGGGGGCTGCGGTGAGCGGCGGAGGGCCCCGCGACGGCGAGTGCGCCCCTCTCGGCGGGGCTGAGCGGCGCGGCGCTGGCGCTGCGCTCCTGCGGCCGCGCGGTGAATGGGCTCAGCCTGACGCAGCCCAGCTCTGCCCCCGCCGCCGCCGAGGCCGCCGAGCGCTTCCAGACATGCTCAGTTCCCGGGCCGGCCCGCGTGGACGATACCAAGAGCCAGCGGCGGCGGGGGGAGACCGGACGGAGCCGCCGAGCTGCTAGCGCCAGCCAGCGTCTACCACGCTGGAGGCTGGGGCAGGGGGGCGCCGCTAAAAATAGCTCCTGCGGAAGCCTAGGCTGGGACTCAACGCGAAACACCCCAGCCCAGTGCTGGGGGTCCGGGACCGGAGCGCATGTCCTGCTAGGTCGCTGCCCGCCCTCTGCACCCAACTCGGGGGGAAACGGCTCCTCCCTCGCAGGGACCCGCGGCTTTCGCCGGAACTGAGCCTGAGGCTCCCCGGATTCCGGGCTCCCTGCTTCGGGCAGCTCTGATTTCAGGTTCTCGGCAAAGAAACAGAGGAAAGTTGGGTTCATGCGATGTAGAAGCTGCGCCACAACGAAATTAACTCAGACTTCTGGAGAAAAATCAAAGTTTTGGGGATGATTGGATTTGCTGGAGGGAAAGGAAGCAAAAGGGCGATGTGCAACAGCCCAAAGCGGGGGGGGGGGGGGGGGCAAAGGGCGGTGTGAAGCGGACTGAAGGGGACTCTGGAAGGAGCTTCTAAAATGCAGAATTATTTTCTGGACGTTTATGACTTCTCATTCCGCAGGTTTTTGCCTATTCGCCGACACCCACCCTGACCTTGGTGATCTTGTTCTCGTTATCTGATCTGTTACTTCCCCCCTCGTTCGACCTCCACCTTTCCTCTTCCAACCATGCTTTAAATTACAAGTAGAAAAGGGCGCAAACTGGGGATGGGTAGATGGTGAGACCCTTGAACTGGAATTTGGCGGTTTGGTAACCCTGCAGAACAAGGGGTCCGCCCTATTGCCAAATTAGGGCCAGGATGCGTCCTGGGTCTCCTAAGCATCCAGCTTTCAGTCATGGTCTCTCACCACACCTGCAAATTATTCCCCCCTGTCAATTTTCAGTATATTCTACCTTAATTCCTGATCATCTATTTTTGAAAATTTCCATCCTGAGGGGTACAGATGTTTCCTGGGTGAAATTGTCATCTTATTTAATTCATTCTTCACAACCACTCCATAAAAGAATCATTCTTTCCGTTGGACAGATGAGGACGTTGAAGTTAGAGGCGTTTCTCTCTTGCCTGGAATAATACTATAGTGTTGAACCCAAAGTCTGCCAGACTAGAAAATTAACATGGTTTCCGCACAACCTATTCCCCTGAATCAATAAATTTACCTGAAATAAGAGCTGAAGAAATATAGGAATTATTCTCTGTGGAGTGCTAATAATTGAAAAGTGCCGATTACAAATTTTATTCATTATTCTTTCCGCTACTTTCTTGCAGGGCATTCACAGCTTAGATTTCGTGTATTCTGTTAAAAATGACTTTCATTTTTACTCATTCTTTAAGAGGGTATTTACTGAGACTCTTCAAAGAGTGATGCATTCACCTGGAATGTAATTTATAATATATCACAGTTCAGATTACTTGCTAAAGCTACTTTATTTTACCATTATTACAAATTAGTGAGGTTTTGCTGCCTGCTAAATAATGTAGGTGTGCTTTTTCACAGAACTGTAGTGGTGTGTGTCTATTTGGGTCAAGTTGTTCTCCCTCCTAAGTTGCGTCCCTCTCTCCCCACTTACAATTTGGTGCCACATCCAGCCCCAAAGAGATGATCAATTAATGTTTGGTCTTTTACTTGCCAGTCTCCAGCTTCTTGATTCTTTTTTTCCTTAGAGTGTATCTTCAATAGATGTCATCTCCAGGACTAGAGCCACTTTGTAATGACAACACTATTTTTGTAAATTTCCATAAACCATTCATTGGGAAGATCAAAGTGGAAATTCCTTAGGGTATCAACACAAATCACCCATTCCTTTCTGTAGGCAGTGAAAGAAGATGAAAAATATATACTTTATCTTCATCCCAGTTATTTTCCTTATTCCTTTCTCAGTAATTAATCTTAAAATGTTTTTGACTGCCTGAACATCTTCATGCTACAGCATGCACACTAGGCATCCTCATGAAACGGGCAGTTTGATTTCAAAGTTTAGACTTTTTGATTTCCTACCTAAATGTGTAGTTTGAAAACATATTGCATTCAGGACTCTTAATAGCAAATGACAGAAACTCAACTCTAAGTCAAACGAAGAAAATGCATTGGGCCAAGTAACTCAGAAACAGAAGGGGTGGCAGGGCTGATCCACAGCTTAACAACACGAACAGGAATATGTTTCTCTCTCTCTCACTTGCTCTCAGCATTGCCTTCCATGTTGGTTTCATTTCCGTCAGGCTGTGTCCACAGTGCAGTTCCAGCACTACACAGATGACAACGTTTTTGATCTTACAGAGAAAGCAGACACCATGCCCTGATGAATAGATCAATCTTCAAAAAAAGAACTCTGGTTGGCTGTCCTGGGTTACACACATATCCTCTGGGGGAAGAAACCTCAAAAGGAGTGACAGTATCCAGTCAGCAGAAGAAGGGATGCAGGATGCTTTCAAGATAGAAATAACAGATATCCACCACAGCCATGGACTGGCCTGTTTCCATAGTCAAAAAGGACAGAAGCCCCTGGTGGGATATCTGTTGGTTTGAGTTATTCAGGAATAAGCAAAATAATAATAACGCTTTGAAGTGATTTTTTCCTATCTCTTTTTAGGCTCAGATACTTTGATTTGCCTGCCTAAGGGTAGCAGTTCGTCTCCTCTTTGTTGCCTTTTCATCTTTATTTCAGGACCCTGGTTACTTCCAAAGTAGTGCCACTCATTAAAGTCTTCTAATGAGCCAGCCTCCAGTTAGCTGTCCAGGATCTGCCTCTACAGGAAAAGGATATTTACCATATTCTTAAAGCTCATTCTTTCTTTTTTGATTCAACATACCTGATCATTATGTAAACCATTTCTTAATTTAATAATAAACGTGGGCTTTTCCTCTTTTGCCTACAATGCTGAACATATAAGGAGGAAATGCTGCTCTTCTTATAGTAAATGGATTATGTCTTATATATGGACCACTGCTAGAATTATTTTAGTAAATGATTATCACTTCTTTTCTCTGTATTTATCCCCAAATCCATGCAATTCACTTGTTACCTATTTTTTTTAACTTTAATGGGGAACAGTGTGTGTTTCCCAGGACCCATCAGCTCCAAGTCAAGTTGTTGTCCTTCAATCTTAGTTGTGGAGGGTGCAGCTCAGCTCCAAGTCCAGTCGCAATTTTCAATCTAGTTGCAGAGGGCACAGCTCACTGGCCCATGTGGGAGTCGAACTGGCAACCCTGTTACTCAGAGCTCACGCTCTAACCAACTGAGCCACCCAGCCACCCCACTTTTTACCTCTTTTAATATTTGTTTATGAAGAAATACAATCCATGAGTCACTTCATTTAAACTGTATTTTATAGGTATATTAAAATTATCAAATCCAAGATGTTTTCCTTAATTTTATTCTTCATGAACTTCTTTTGCACATGGTCTTCTAGGAATTCCTCACTCAGTGTTTGTCACACCACACCTGAATCCACACACCTGGTTATTCCTCTTTTATTTTCCTAGTTCTTCTCCTTTATTCCACCTCTGCAGTGTTTTTGTTTTTGTTTTTTTGTCTTCTTTTACACCACTTTTCCATTTGTTTTAGTGATCTACATACTTGCTTCTCCCCACCCCAACTGCAAGTTCATGGAGGTTTAGGACTGCAGCAAATTTATACATGTGTGTATTTTTAGTGTTTCATAGATGCTTGTCAAAGCACTCATGGGTTGTAAGGTGAAGCTGAACATTTAGATTTGAAAGAAGAGGGCTCTTGGGGCTAGCATTAAGTCCCCTAGTTTCAGGAAGGGGTTAATGCTGGGGGTAGGATGCATGTGATTAAGACTCTGCCTGCCTTTTGAGCTCCTTTTTTTGCTCAGCCCGCTCCAAACTCTTTGGAGTGTACTTTCTCTTCTAATAATGGGCCCTTGAGCCATTCTCTACTGCTCAGGCCCGCTTCTATTTATTTGAAGTGTACTATCTCTTCTAATAAACTGCTCTTTCACCACTTAAAAAAAAAAGATTTTTCCAATTTCACCATTTTTTCTGAGGATAGCTTTGTATTGCTCCTTCTCCCCTCTTTTATGTTTTCTTACCAAACTTCTGTAACTTGGAATTCCTTCAGTATGATCTGTACCACACCGCCAGTTATCTCTACTTTTTTCAGATATTGGCACTGGCCACTGAACACACTCTGCTTCTATTACGTAGAGGCAGCCCATTTTAGAAACTTGAGCACTGGGCTACCTCTCCATTACATTTCTTTCATACTAAATTTAATTTTAGAAAATCATCACTAAATTAATTCATATTTGAGTTCTTCAAGAGAAAAGCAAATATAAAGATGGCTTCACTGAAGAGCTATTAAACCCTTGTCTTCTTCATAGCTGATATTTTCTCAATACTAAAAAAATTATGGAGAATTAAATGGGAGTAATTCAAAGTCACTAATGCCTAAATTATTCTTTCATGATATGATTGTAGATAAATGTCATTAGAGATCAACTAATGATATGCACTAAAGATATAAATGTTCATTTTCTCCTTCTGTACTTGAAAGCTAAAACTGCTCTAGGTAATAGTCATGGGACATTAAGGATGCTCATAGTATTTGTGAATCAAAGATGTTCTTGACTAAAAGACTTAGCTTTGATGGCTCTTTCCTCAGGGAAGATGAATGTGGATAATTGTGTACTTCAAATATCAGGCTGCTCTTTTCTTCCCTCTAAGTCTAACACAAACATGACTTACCTATTGAACAAGCAGCAAGGTCTTGATACAGCTGCAACCCTTTTCACTTCTCAATGAGTCCAATGCTCCAATAACAAATGTTTGTTTGTTTGTTTTGCGTTGAGGAGAAAAGCATCTTTTATTATAGATTCCAGCAGCTAGGGAAGATGGCAGACTCAAGTCTAAAAATCCACCTTCCCAATAACAAATGTGTTTAATGTAGGATCTCAGATTCTTAAATATTATCAAGTAATTCATGACCATTAATTTATTTCTATAATACAATTGAATAAAATGAATTCAAAATACTAGTCAACATCAATTAATAATAATAATAA